AAAGAAAACTGCACTCTTTAGGAAGTCAGTGTGGTGTGTCACTTCTGAAAATAAGAGATGTTCTCCTTAGGATTTTATGAGTCTCCAGGCCATTTTTCCTTTGAACAATCAGGTGTGACAGAACGATTGCTACAGGGGCCATGAATTTGGCAGTATTTTGTTACAGACACTTAGATCTTTGCTTTGTTTTACAGTAGCCTTGCAACCACCAAGCATTCCAGTACCATCCATGCTCCTGGACTGAAATTCACACAGGATACCACTTCAATCTTCAGAAACACCCACAAGCAAGCCGAGCACCGAGGAACACTCTCACACAGCTGGCAGCAGCACATGAGCAGATCGAAAGCGGAAGATCCATTGCGTAATAACTCCATTTCACATGATGACTGACACCTACTTAAACTTTAGTTTACCACAAAGACACCACCAGCCGGCTCCAGCATAGGTCACCACGCTGCTTCTCAAGTGACAGAGTTAATCTATGAAAGTTTCTGCAGTTAATTTTAGTAAGAGAACTATTCACACACACACTGCTCATGTGAGCGGCCAACTGTCCTCAACGTGGAATGAAGGGTAAGTTTATCAGAAAATCGTTCACCAGTCAGGAAAATAAAACTTGATAGGTTAAGGATGCTCTTTATGCACTTGTGGGTTGGTATAGCTGAACTGAGTTCTACTCATTTATAAAAAAGGTTAATAACTCCTCAAATAATAACTGATGCCAGCGAGGGCATCATCAGATTTCTGCTTTACAGGGGAACACGGGGATACAGAATCCCATGAGATTTCCACTGCCATAAGAGCTCCATCAAGAAAAGTACTACTACAGGTTGTCCATGCCATTGCCACAAAACACACATCCTGAAGAGAGACTCCAAATTCTCCAGTGAAATCCTTCTGAGCACAATGCACCAGATACTGCAGGCCCAGCCAGCCCCGACTCCTTCAAAATCACCAAAACACTTCCCAGTGTTGTATCATTTTGTTCAGCCAGTCACATTGTGGCTCTCCTTGTCCTCTAAACACACAGCTTGAATGTTGGAGACATTCCACACGCACAGTTACACATGTGAGAGCAGAAAAGAACCTCTTTATGGCTCAGAGTTAAGATTCTTTTCTTTGCCACCCTGTACTGTTTCCCAGATTTCCAGATTTAGTTACCATTTGAACAGTTTTTTTGAACCTAGAGGAACAAAAGCATTTAACTCTCTAGACCAGAAATGCCTGCAGGATTCAACACTTAAAATTAAAAAAAAAAAACCAACATGCCAGAGATATTAGCTGGGACAGTGGATATAGATATATATCTCTATGAGTACTGCAAACAGCTGCCCCCAGAACCAAGTCACAGAATTTCATTTAACATTAAACCAGACAGTTGGTTTCCTACTGAAACATTCTAGGTAAGTTCTGAAAGGTGAGCAAGTTCACATTTCCACGTTAAAACAACTTTGAACTCAGGCTACTCTAACAATAAATTAATGCAGAATACACTGAAATTCTCAGTTAGGACAAACACTGCACTGGTCATTCAGCTCCTCGATCCCTAGGAAACCTTAGGCTCTGGGTCACAGACAGGTGTTAATTCAGGGAATATCACACAGATCCACTGGCACAGTGCCAGTGATCTCATCCTCACTCCTCTGTTATTTGTGCATCAAAAGTACACACCGTCCATTCCCCACCCATTAATTTCAACACGCAATTTATGATGCAGTTAGGAAATGCAGTTATAACCCACTGTCCTTACAGTGCTGCTCATAAATCTCTGCAATCAGTAGTTCTCTACAATCAATGGTGGCTCACAAAGATGTAAATGCTGTTATGACTCACCCCCAAAAATTACCCTGCAGTGTATCAGATGGGTTTGCAACAATCGATTTACAAACCCCACTGTCAATGAAACTTGGTAACTTTAAAGATGATGGGGAATTCTTATGTGATGCCAAACCTTCTGCCTGCATCCACACACACTGACACAACAACACTGCCATAAGCTGTGTGAAAAACACAGAACAAATACTAATTAATTTCCTAACTTGATTATTCACCTTCAGGCACGACTCTGGACCCCAGACAGGAATCAATCAATCAAGAGTACTTGGATTGCTCTCTTTTGCACTGTTTTCCTGCTTGAGGATAAAACAGAAGTGAGGTGATATCCACAACTGACCAACTTGATATTTTGCATGGCACCTTACTACTAATAATATTAAAAAAACAGAATTCACCACAGCACAATGTTTCAAATTTCAATTTTTAAAGTCAGAAGGACCACAAAAAGCCCTGACACCTTCGTGTGGTCCATGTTTCCAAGACAAGCCTGCATAAAGCTGCCAACAAAGCTACAGAAATAGCACTGAGGGGCAAAACCAGCAAGTGCTGCTGGTTTTTGTGAAGCCAAGAACAAACAAGGAATCCTGTGTGGGCTGAAGAGCTTCACTTCACTTCACCTGCATGGGACACTCAAGAGACCAGAGAGGTGAGTTAGCAACAGAAGAAAGGCCACTCACTTAACAGCACAGGACACCTCTAGAGCAACAGAAGGTCATTTAACATTTCTGAGAGCTCAGGAACATTTGTGAATGTTGCCTGGTGGTTTATAAACCAGTCAAAGTACTAATGCAGAAGGCCAGGATCCCAGTCATGTTTTCTGCCACACACAGTTTCAGTGTCCCCTACTCCAAGCCAATCCTTTAGCACATCACTTTCACCAGCCACAAGCTCTCCAACCTCCAGGGAGATGCAAGGATAAACACTCTGGATAGTTACATCCCAACGGATGGCATGGGATCAGTCACCACCAGTGACTCCAACCCACCGGTTTCCAAACCCTTCTAAAGCACCTCCTGAAGATACCACATCAAAAGAGCCAAGCAGATCTAAAAGAACTGTTTCTCCTTCTTGTTTGCACTTCAGATCTATCAACTGGAAAGCAAGATCTAACTGGAAAGCGAGCTGGAAACCTGCAGTGAAATGAGAGCAGAATCCTGGCCCTGGTAAAAGCCAAACATGAATGAAGGAGGGGAAGGTTGTTGCCAAGCAACCCGATGCTCCAGCTCAACAATCTCCTGGTCAGCACATGGTGCTGCTCTGACAATTCACAGGCAGGGAGTCACCTGCAAACAGCTCAGCAGGCAACGAGCTGAGAGGAGGGGCTGACAGCCACAGAACAACCCCTCATTCTGCTGACAGCCTCCTTTCCTCACAGACCAACCCCACCACAGCACTCTCCACCATGTTTTATGAAGCTGTCAAAGGTCAAGGATCGCTGCACCTCCTCAACATGAATTTTAAACAGCGCTAAGAGCAGTCCCTGCTTGAGCAATCGGATTGATCCGAAAGGCCAGCAACCCAAACCTCACCTCTAACGTGCCCTAACAACTCTTTGATTTTTTCAGCTGGCATTTGCATAGCTCTGCATTTCAGTTCCTTGTTTTTCATACACCTGACAGCTGAGTAGCCTGAAATTCCTCTTCCTCCAACTGCCCCTCCAGAGCTTCCATTAAGTGCTTATTCTAACACCAGGGAAATCAGCAAACTTAAAGCACTGCCAGCCTGTAAATCATCCCACTCAGTCACTCCATCAGCTGAGGCTCCCTTTGTGCAGGCTCTGCTCAGGCCATCAGCCCTCAGAGCAGAGCCTCTCTCCCCACTGGTGCTCTCACACCTCCCACTGCCCTGACCCCAGAGGCGACTCCTCAGTCATCTGTAAAATGTCATTTTGCTGATCACTTCGAGGAAAAACAATAAACGTGCTGGGAAGGAGGAGGGAGGGGAAGAAAAATCAAAAGATCTCCTTATAACTGAGCTGCTTGTGATGCAGCAGAGCTGCTGAGACACACAAGTGGATAATTAGGGAAGCAAGAGCAGAGGATGTGGGGGGGGGGTGTGTGTGAAATCAGGAGACACAGCAGCACTGATATGCACACATACAAGGGGAACAGATACAGAGAGAAGGCTGCCCTTGCATGCCTTTATTCCTAGCTTAAAACACGCACTAGAAGTTGTTCGGTTTCACCTTTAGCATCCTAATTTTAAATGATCCTAATTTTCGCGGGGAAGAAAGTCACCAGGCTCTTCAGTTCAAAGGGGCAACCCCCGGGCTGTCACCACGGGGACCCCCGGGGCGACACCGGCTCTGCCGGGGCGCTGGGCACGAGCAGAGATGAGAGTGAAGGGTTCCCGTGCCCGCTGACCCGCTCTGTGTTGGTCTCAGCGGCTCCTCGGTCGGGCCCGCTCCCGGCTCACACCGGGCCGGCGCCGCTGGCGCCGCTTCCCCGCGCCCCTGCCCCGTCCCGCCGCGCTCCCCTCGGCCCGCGGTCGGCGCGGAGGGCCCCGCCGAGCCCGGCCGGGTGTCCCTGGCAGCGAACGGACCGCCCCGGAACCCCCTCCCCGCGCCCTGCCCGCGGGGGCAGCGGGACGAGTCCGGAGCCGCCCCCGCGGCTGCCCCGCGCTCACCGTTGGTGTAGGGTCGCTGCGGGCCGGTGGGTGCCCCGCTGGGTGCCCCGCTGGGTGCCCCGGGCTGGGCCATGGCTCGGCCGCCGCTCCCGCTCCCGCTCCGGGCGGGGCTCACGCACCGGAACCGCCGCGCGCGCAGCCGCACTGCCGACACGTGGCACTTCCGGGAGCGACGCTGCGGGGCCGCGGGGGCGGGGCCAGGGGCGGGGCCGGCGCCGGGGAGCGGGGCCGGACCGAGCCGAGCACAGCCGAGTCCAGACGACTCTCTCCGAACGTAGCCGAACCGATCCGAACGCAGCCGAACTCATCCGAACGCAGCCGGACCCGGCCGAGCCGAGCCCGGCCGGACAGAGCCGAGCTCAGCCGAGCGCAGCCGAGTGCGCGCGCCGCGGGCGCCGGTGCCGGAAGGAGCGGCGGGGGCGGGGCGGGCACAGCCGCGGGTGAGTCTCGGTGAGTGCCGGTGGGTGAGTGCCGGCTCTGTGTCTGTCTCTGTCTGTCGGTGAGTGCTGGGTCTGGCTCTGTGTCTGTCTGTCTGTCTGTCTGTCGGTGTGTCCGTGCTTGCCGTGCCGTGTCGGTGTTGCTGCCGGTGCGGTCCCGGGCCGCCTCAGGCTCAGCGGTGGGTGAACGCAGGGCGGTCGGGCCGGGGAGGAGGGGGCCGGGCGAGCCCGGGGGGCTCCGGGCCGTGCTCGTGTCCTGCCCATCGGCCTCGGGCCGGGCCTGGGCGGGGGTTCCTGCGAGCCCCGGGGGCCGCGGCCTGCACGGCGTGGGGGGCTGAGGGCGGGCGGTGTCCCCCTCCATTCCCTGCCCCTCCTCTGCGGGGCTGTGGGGCCGGGTTCGTGGGGCCGTGCTGGTGCCTGCGGGGTCCCTCGGGGGCTCTGCGATGTGTCAGGGTGTGCTCAGTGCCCCCATAAGCCGCCCCGGGCAGCCTGTGCCACGCCGTGTTTGAGGTGGATCGTTTCTCCAGGAGTTCTTTCTTTCATGATTTTTTTCTAGCATGGGTGCAGCAGCCCCGCGGTGAGATGTGCTCTGACAGCTGGGCTTTGTCAGAGCCTCTGGCCTTAGGAACTCCTCTTGTGTGTTGTGGTGCTGTCTCGCAGATGAGTTATTTTAAAAAAACTGATTAAAATACCCAGAGAAAATCCATGCCATTAGCTCACTTTCCATCTCTGTCCCTTTCTGCAGCTCTTAAAATACGACATCCAGGCACAGTTTTGTACTGTAGAATAAACTGTACTGTGGAAAGCATCATCTTGTTCACTGAGTTTCTGAGGGATTTTGAGTTTTGTTGCCTGTGGTAACGCTTTGCAGTGTTCCACTCATCACGTGTGAAATTGTAACTTTTGAGTGATCGTATTTAGATGCTACTAAAACTAAAAATACACCCTTGGCTGTAGACTTGGCGGGTTGTGGTTTGGGACTGGCCTGTGGCTGGGGTGCAGGTTTGGTGCAGTCAGGGTGGGCAGAGGTTTGTTCCCTGCAGGTTCAGTGTGTTCCCAGCTCCTGCAAGAGCTGCTGGGCTTGGGTGTCACTGGTTTCTGTTACCTAATTACCCCATAAAGGGATTTAAAACTGTCTTTAAAAGCCCAATATTCTCTCTTGCCTAAACTTGCACAGGCTTTCGGAAGTAAGCGCTGTCCTGAGGTTTGGAAGGGAAATGAGGAATTTTTAGAAAAATGCAAGTTGAGAATGGGAGAAAACCGTTCCCAGTTTCCAGGATATAAAAGAAATGTGAGTTTGCTTGCTAGTCCAGCATCGTGCCCTTCAGGAGGCTGGTTCAGAGTGTTATCACAGCCACTGTGTGGGAATCCCTCATTCCCCACAGTCAGGAGTGGGCTCCAGTGAGTGAACCCCTGTCCTTGGGCTGTGGAGTGGTGGAAAGGGCTCCACAGGAATTACTGGGTGACGCTTTGCTGATGAAATAACATTTACCAGGGTTGTTGAGGGCATTTTTCAGTGGTAGCCATCTGTTGTTGATGCTGGAAAGTTAACTTTGGTGTCTTTGTGGAGGAGGCGCAGTGATATCTGTAAAAGTAGTTGGTATCAAAAGACTTGCTTGGTCCAGCACAGTTTTTAATTCAAAACTTCTGTCTGCTTGCAGCAGATTATTTTCAAGTGAACCCTTGAAATAGCCTTAAAATAGGACCTTTGTCTTCACGTGGGTCGTGAACAGTGATTGTGGAGTCCTTGTTCTGCTTTTATGGTGTTTTTAGCATGAGCCTGAGAGTTTGAGTCCACGTGTATTCAGCAGCCTCAGCTCTCCCCTAAATTTGGCACAGCTCTGACTGGGACCTGGTAACGACTCAGGATCCCAGTGCAGAGCCACTTTGTGGAGCTTTGATTTGGCACAGCTGTGAATTATGGAGTTACTTTTCCTGTGCGATAAGAGCAGATTTAATATCTCTATTCAAATACTGCCTGTGTGCCTTTACAATTAGCTGCCCATTTTTTCCCCATTTGGAAAGTGTTTTCCTTTAACTGCTGCCAGCTGCTACGGAGGCTGTTCTGGGAGGATTTGGGTAGCTCTGTTTCTAGCACCGCTTTTCTGGTGCTGATGGAAATGGAACCCACGTTTGTGCCACTTCAGCTGTGTTTGTGGAGTAATCCCGTTCTCACGTTAATCATTTAAATCTCACCCCTGAAAGTTTTTTTTCTGTAATGCACAGAGATCGTTTTGGTTGGTGTTTTTCGTAAACAGAAGATTAATAGATGGAAAAGGGTAATATAACTGAACACTGGAGTTCTTCTCACCTCAGAAACCTGAGCACTTCTCTTCCATCAGGCAGTTTGCCCTGATTTGCAGGTTATCTGAGTCGATGGCTTTCCTAAGCCCCACAGAGGCTTCTCCCCATTGGTATTTTGCTCAAGCAATAAATAAATCTGCTGACGTGTGTGTTCTGCCATGTTTGCTTATTCTTGACCTTTGCTTTTTAGCCAGGCAAGGGACAGTTTCAGCCGTGACGTTGTGTAACTGGGTGTTTATGCCTTGACAGGCATGTTTGATTTGTATCCTTCCAACCTGTGCCTCTTGCAGCTGATGAGCTGTTCAGAGCTGTGCAGACGTGGGTAAAGGTTTCAGGGTGAGTGGTGGCGAAACCAAGACACCCAGTGCTTCGTCATCTGAGCAGATTTTGTTCCAGCCCAGGCAAATGTCATTTAAATATTCTGCCCTCCTCTTCCCGTGTTACCTCTGTGTGATGTACCTGTTGTTGCACGGCAGAAACTCCTGCTTGTCATGAGTGTGATTGCTGGGACAGGTGCCTGGATTTGGGTTCAGAGCCCTGTTTTGACTCCTGTGTGTGCTCCGGGCTCAGAGCTGCCCTGAAGTCATCTTTGCAATGCCCCAGGGCGCCCCTGCAGCTTCCAAAGGAGGGTGGCAGGAACCTGGAGCAGCTGTGCTCAGCAGTGCAGTCTGGTTTCTCCAGGGCACCCAGACTCCAATGTCCACAGGGGTCATGCATTCCAGCACGAATTAGCTGCCTAAATGCTTCTAAGGATGATGCCTTTCAGGAGGTTTTCATACTAGGTACTAGTTCACTGGGTCAAACTGGTGCTTTCAGTGTGATTTGGAGCACAAGTCTGATGAGGAGCAGCTGGGGGGGCTCAGCCTGGAGAAAAGGGGGCTCAAGGGGGACCTTTTCTCTCCCTACAACTCCCTGACAGGAGGGTGGAGCCAGGTGGGGTCGGGCTCTGCTCGCAGGTAACAAGGGACAGGATGAGAGGAAACAGCCTCGACTTGTACCAGGGAAGGTTCAGATTGGATACCAGGAAAAATGTCTTCATTGGAAGGGTGGTCAGGCACTGGCACAGGCTGCCCAGGGCAGTGCTGGAATTGCCATCCCTGGAAGTGTTCAAAGGTTTCGTGGATGTGGCCACTGGGGCCATGGTTTAAGTGGTGAACACGACAGCAGTGGGCTGAGGGGTTGGACCCGATGATCTTAGAGGTCTTTTTCAACCTTAATGACTCTGTGATTATCCTCCCTTCAGATAATGAGGAAATAAGAATGAAAGTTAGGTAATTAATTGCTCGTGGCTGCACAGTGAACCCAGTCAGTGATGGCTCTCAGCTCAGCCTTCTGTTCTCGAATCTAAGCTGAAGGAACTCAGTGTGAAACATGGTGTTCTAGAGGGGATTTTAACATAAATTCTGCATTTAAGGTTGAAGTTGTGGCAGGCTGTGCAGGACAGTACAGGAGGTCACTGCCTTTGAATGGCAATTCCAGAGCTCTGTGCTGGGTAGTTATTCCCCATAACAGCCAAACAGCAGGTTCTGTGTGGGCAGCAGGGGTTTGTTTGGCATCAAACTTCTCTAGATTCAAATTTACAGAACTTCTTCACCTCTTATTGCCTCTGCTTTGAACTGCAGCAGCTCCCAGGGGGTGGCTGGAGCGCTGACCCTGCACTGATACCCCTCCAGTGCCCTCTCCAAAGTGCTGCTTTTTCCCAGTTGAAAACTATGTGAAAATCCTGTCTGAAATCTTCAGTGGATCACTGCACATCTCCACCAAGTCATACTGAGGATAGAGTTATTTTTACTCCTTGCAAAGACTTCAGTCCTCATAGTGTTTCCCTGAGGGAAGAGAAAGTCTTTGATGTTGAATCACAAGGTCTGGATTCTGTTTTCCGTTTCTACACTAATTTTTAATGTGTTATGGGGTCACTTAATTGGTCCATGATACAGTTTACCAAAACTAAATTGGCTTTTATTTTTAACCCAAGACTTTGGATTACTTTTGTTACCTATGAATATTTTACAATGCTTAATGTGCTGTTCTGACAGATCTTAAATGCATTCTATTTTCTGTTTATTTCAGACTGTAAGATTCAGATATGTTCCTATTTGATTGGATTTACAGTGGTTTCAGTAGCATATTACAGTTTTTAGGTAAGTCTTTGTTGTTTGGGATTTTTCCTTTCTGCCATTCTTGTGTAAAATGTCTGTTCACCTCTGTTATCTTCAAACAAGGCCGTTGGTTAAATAATAATATTTGGTTTGGTGTATATTCAGTAACAATCAAACAAAAGTGTCACTTATCAATACCGACGATTTCCAGACTGTGCTCTCCGCTCAATCTTACATTAAGCCTTAACTTCTTGAAAAAAACTACATTTTCCTTCATGATCATAATATGTTGGACTTTTCTAATCATAAATAAAGTGCATTTAAGCTGCTGTAATTCAGTTGGCTTTTGTGGACCTTCTGATTTTTCTCTGCTGTAAAGAGCTGACCTCAGTTATTTTAGTTCAGTTATTTTGCACACGAGGATGTTACTTCAGAATCCAAATAGGAGGGACTGTCTACAAAAAACTAGTGCCAGGTATTGAACCCTTTCTCATGCTCAGCACTGCGTTGTTCAGTGACTGGTGTCACAGAAATCAGCATGAAACTTCCCTGGCATCTGCTCAGGAGCCTCAGAAAATTATTCCCTGGCCCAAAGAGTCTGCAATCCAGATCAGTCCAAGGAGAAATATTAGCTTGTGCTTAACAGGGAGGGGAAAAAACCCTACAACCAGGAGGAAAATGAGTGTCAGGATACTGGAAAAGGAAGGGAAGGTGCAGATCTCGCAGGTAAAAGGCACAGTTTCCAAGTTCAAAGGATTCTATTGAAGTGGTCAAAAAGCATCTGAGGCTAAGGAATCATGGCAGGCTGTGCCACCTGCCTTTTATCAGCTGAAAGTTTAAAGTTTTTCGCTGAATGTTGGACCCTTGGCCTGCTGTCGAAATGTCAGCCAGTGAAATTTTAACCAAGGTGACTAATCTTTGTTATCTCCTCTTCCTTGGCTGTGCAGTGATTGCTGCTCCCTGCCCTGCTCTTCCATCCCTGGGCAAGCAAAGGCTAATTCTGGCTAATTCAGCCAATAAGTGAAGTACTGCTGCTTGTTAGTCTTGTGTTTTTGTGACAGACACTTGGGAAGCCTGCAATGTTTTGGAGAAAGCAGCAAGGTGTTACTGGGGAGCAAAGACTCCTTTAAGTGCAGGCTGAGAGTGGCAAACATGGTATTGTTTTACTGTAGGTTAAGAGACTTCTGTCTAGCTCACAAGGTGAGTTTCTCCTGTGATGTAAGTGAATAAATGAAAATGTTTGTCACTTCTTCTTGCTCTGTAAACATTTATGCTTTCTCCTCCTCTCTGCGGTTCAATAGCTTGTATACACCTTGTGAGGAGGTGAGTTTGGGAAGTAAGAGTTGCTTGTGTTTGAAAGAACTGTGAGGACACTCAACAGGACCTGGAGTAATGAAGATCATTAATGAAACAAGATGAGGAATGGGAGAGAATATCCATTTGTGCAGGTTACAAAACATGTCCCTCTGGAACATGATCCCAAAGATAGCTGAAAGGCAGAGGGAGAGGTGAGCAAACAGCAACAGTGTAAAGGTCTGGGCAGAGCCACCTGTGCCCCTGCAATGCTGCGGCATCAGCAGGCCTGGCTTGAAATCCCACCACGGAAAACACACAAGGACAACACTTTAAATAGTTCTTTTCAGTACAGAACAGGATTGATACTTTGTTTTTAAATTTAATTTATCTTAATGCTTTACTTTGAACATCAATCAGTCTGAAGCAGTGAAAACTAATTCTGGCAGAGGATGTAGTGTTGACAAGTTATTAGAGAATTACCCTTTGATAATCTCCAACATTAGGAAAAGATGGTGTTCATGTTTTAAACGTCTTTCCACTCCTTCACAGCAACTGTTGTATTTCTGGGGCTTCAAGTACAGGGGAGATGAAGGGGAAAAGTCATTCTTATAAAGATGGCAGTCAATGAAAATAAGATTTCTTATTCCTTTTATGGGAGCAGTGTCACATGGCAGCAGGTGTGTCAGAAGTGCCATTCAGGACGTAGCCACCAGTTTTCCTGGGGGTGTGGGTGGAAGTTACTCTTTGTCCAAATAACGTATCAACCAACACTGAAGAACTCATACATGCACTAATTATGACCACTGGCGTTGAAACCAATTTCTCTGTAATATTCTGACTGAAGCCTGAATTCTCTTTTTGCCTCAGATGAGGTTTTTGGTGCAATTGGAGGCAGCTGAACAAAGCCCTGTGGTACCCGGTGCAGCAGGCACGTGGCAGGCGGGAATGCAGTTTGTACGAGGAGGACAACGTGGAGAAAGGGCACTGGTGATAAAGTGACACTGATAAAGTGTGTGCTGGGGCATGGCTGGCCTGTATTTTGTACTGTGACACTGTAACACTTTGTTCCTGGGAGCAAAATCATCTCCAGGGCTGGAAATGAACTCCCACCGCTCGAACTGATTACTCACTAAGGTCCTTCTTTGTTCTAGGACTGTACAAGAAATCAGGCAAACTCGTGTTCCTTGGACTGGACAATGCTGGGAAAACTACACTGCTGCACATGCTCAAAGATGACAGACTGGGGCAACACGTGCCCACGTTACACCCCAGTAAGTGAATATTGCTGGTCCCAAAACTGGAAAGTGTTTGAAGGCTTGCAGGAAAAGCAGGATTTGATTCTTCATCCTAAGACCAACAGTGTAATTGGGAGAAAAAAAAGTGATTTTGGGGATGCAATCTTTAGATAGTTCAAGTAATATTAAAAAAAGAGTGTAGGATAGTTTAGTGTGTTACATTAAATTTAAGAGGTGAATAACAAGCAGGATAATGAAGCTGAGAGGAAGAACGATGAAGCTGTGGGGAAGAGGGGCTTACAGTTTTTGGGAACAGCTTCTCTGTGTAGCAGGAAAGTTAAGAGTTTGTGTCTCAAAGGTTGCTGTGTAATTGTTATCCTGGTAACCTTGCAGGAGAAAAAGTTCAGCACAGGTTGAAAATGTGGGTTGGTGAAGTCCAGTAAGGAGGTGAGAAATTGGGAAAGGATGTGACGAGGAGAAACCTTGAACAGCATTGGGCACAAAATGCCATCTTTTTGGCAAGCCAGATGCCAGAACCAACTGTTGTTTGTGTAATATGTAGGGATACATAATGTATGAATGCTGTCTGCTGTTCTCAGTGTTGTAGATACTTTATTTCACACATGCTTTAATGGTTAATAACATTTTGGTGTTACACGAACGTGTCGCTGATTTTGAGAGAACGTTTTACTCCCGTTTACTTCTTGAATAACAAAACACTGAAAAGAACCAAGAGAAAAGCCAAGGTGTGTGTGCTAGAAGGTGAGACTGTGCAATGCATCAGAGCAGTCTTCACAGGAACATTACTCTGTGTCTTTCCAGCTTCAGAAGAGCTGACAATTGCTGGCATGACTTTCACTACCTTTGATCTGGGTGGCCATGCTCAAGGTAAGAGCGTGCATTGACTCACTCGAGCTCAGTGAGTTGGGCTGGAGTTTGTTTCCAGTCAGAAATGCAACCTTCCTGCAAAGGCTGACTTCCCACGCTCTTCTTTGAAAGCATAAAAGACATTGTCTGTTTTTTTTTGTCCATCTCCACCACTTATCACAAATCCCAAATACAATTTGGCAGGAGCTGCAGTAGAGCAGGAACTTTTGTCTAATACTGTGAAGGGGATTATGTACTTTGAATTGCTTATATTTACCTTTCAGCTTTATGCTTCAAACTTAACTTTAGTGACATAATTCTTGGGGAGACAAAAGAAGTTCTGTGCATCAGCATCCATGTGGGATAGAGGGGTGATAACAGTAAAGGGATTATATTTTTGCTCTGTTATTTCAAGTAAAACATAGGATTGCATCCTGAATGCTGGAAGCATAAGCTAAGACTTAAAAAAAAAAAAAAATCAAATAAAAAAACTCTACCTGCTACTCCTTAATTACCAATATACATCACTCTGAATTTGGGGATAATTTCCTTGTATTTTTAATTCTCATTTTCCCTGCAGCTCGCAGAGTGTGGAAAAACTACCTGCCCGCAATTAATGGCATTGTGTTCTTGGTGGACTGTGCAGATCATGAAAGGCTGCTTGAATCAAAAGAAGAACTTGATGTAAGTTTAAAGAAGCTTTTGAAAGTGTGACCTTTCACTTGTAAGAGCTCAACTCAGATACCCAGTACCCAGCAGAGCCCTGCTGTCACCTCACATGAGTAGGAGCAATTTGACCTGTATTCTGAATTCATCACTCCTTCTTTCTCCTTCCCTCTCCAGTCACTAATGACAGATGAAACTATTGCTAATGTGCCTATCCTAATTCTTGGTAACAAGATTGACAGACCAGAAGCCATCAGTGAAGAAAGGTTACGAGAGACATTTGGTCTGTATGGCCAGACAACAGGAAAGGTATTGCTCCTTTTTTCTTTTTCTCTCCCTTTTTTGGTTTGGTGAGATTTTTTTTTTTTTAGGGAGTTTGTTTGCCTTGTTTAAGAATTTGCCTTATCTAAGAAAGAACTGGATGAAGTCTTTCAGTAAGTGACTTTTCTCGTGTAAAGTACAGGCTTTAATAATTATCTACTTGAAATGTTTACCTGAAGCTTGAACGTGAATTTACACCATTTGCACCCAAGTCTGTAGGTTGTGGGAAGGAAAAAGTTCCTACTGGTATCTGTGTAGCAACAAGGCAGATTTCTCATGTGGATCTTCATGATACTTCAGCTCTTCTTAATGTAAAGGGAACTGTGACTGAAAACCAAAGCTCTGAAATTCTCTGTGGACACGTTGCTGTTCCATTCTGGCTTCATGTACTGCACCCTCTCCAGTGTGGATGAACATATGAAAATATGCCTTCAACACATGGAAATATGCTTTGTGTATCCCTTGAGTTACTGAGATTAGGATGGCAGGGTTAGATTAGAATGTCAGGAGGAAATCCTTCCCTGAGAGGGTGGGCAGGCCCTGGCACAGATTGCCCAGAGAAGCTGTGGCTGCCCCTGGATCCCTGGAAAGTGTTCTCAGGGCAAGGTTGGACGGGGCTTGGAGCACCCTGGGCTGGTGGAAGGTGTCCCTGCCCGTGGCAGGGGGTTGGAACAAGATGAGCTTCAAAATCCTGTCCAACCCATTCTACGATTTGAGATGAATTTATGTTCTAAAATCCAGCGTCCAACCCAAGCTAAGCACTGACATTCCATGTGCAGTAGGTGTTGTTTTCCGAGCAGACTGTAACCGGGGGGATTTGTGTGTCTCTGCAGGGCAGCACCCCCCTGAAGGAGCTGAATGCCAGGCCCCTGGAGGTGTTCATGTGCAGTGTGCTCAAGAGGCAGGGCTATGGGGAGGGGTTCCGCTGGATGGCCCAGTACATCAACTGACCCTGCCCCTCGCCTGCTCCTCGTGTGATCACTCAGTGTACGTCACTTGAATCCATCTGACTGTTCAGTTAGAAAAAAATACACCTTTTTAGCTAATGATGTCATTGATGCTAAATTATAAGTGTGGAGGATCGAAAAAATTATTTCGCCTTTGTAAGTTGAAATACCACAACCTGTGAGCTTTCTAATCCCTTTTGCAGCTTTTTAATTTAATGAGTCTCCAGCACCATTTTTTTGGTCAGGGCGACTTTCCAGTACAGTACGTTTGAATGCACTTTTTAACAGCTAAAAACGATGAACATGTGAAAGAAAAGAAAAAAAAAAAATATTTAATGCTTATGTTAAATTTTTTTATGTACTTTTTTGAAACTGGTTTTATAACTTTAGAGTATATAACCATCTTTCAAGGAATAATAAATAATTAGCTGATGGATAATTGCATGATGCCTTACAGTTTTCAATAATACACTTTCTTATGCAACGTCATGCAATAAATTCAAATCCAGTTTTTTGGCAACTTCAATGGGAAATGTTTCGTTTTAATGTGTCTTAACTAGTGAGGCTGCCTGGTGATCTGAATATGTGGGATATTTTCCTGGAACACAGCAGGCCACAAAGTTTCATTGTTGGTTAGAGTAAGGTGGGTTTTTTTTCAGACTACCAAATTGCATTTGTTTTAGGATTTTGCGTAGTAAAGGAAAAATCCAATGTGCTGCCCTTCAAGTACAAATAATGTCAATTAGCTGTGCCAAAGTAAATCTTAAACTAATATCAGAAGTGGTCTTAATCTACTGGTCTCTGGAATTAAACCCCTGATGTGGAACAAGAAATACAGTTTCTTTCTGAAGAAAAAATTAAGAATGTCATTGCACTGAATATCCTGTTTCCAATTTCATTAGTTTTTGGGTCTACCAGCAGATTTGCCTGTGAAAAAAAAAAAGTGTTGCCGTTGCTGCTCGTGAAAATTTATCAGCTCACACCCATATTGGCCAGTCTTACTTTTGCTATTTTAAACTGGGACAAGAGGGATTCTTTCATGTGGTTTTTGCCCTGACTCCTGGCCAGTGGGGCAGCTGCTGGCTGCCCAGGGGACTTATTTCTGGGGTAAAATTCAGTTACCTGCACTCCCTGTTCCCAGTCTGCTGGTTTTCCCTGTCGCTGAGTGTTCTGGCTCCCCAAGTACAGGCAGGGTATCTTTGAGGAAAGGCTGTTATCTGTCAGTATTCTGTTGGTGCTGCCTGGGAGCTGGGCTTGGTGCTTCCATGTCTGGGGATGTTTTATTTTCCTTTGCCAAATGAAGGTGGGGTTTCATGCCTGAAGTCACCGTTTCACCGTGAGGGGGTTGAGTTTCACCGTGTGGTTTGTTTTCCCCTTGTACAAACACAAACTGCTGCAAGTTTTACTGAATCCCCTTTCCTGCCTGCTGTAGGTCTTCTCCAAAATACTTTAGGCCTTATGTTTCTGATATCCATGGCAGCAAATGTATTTCTGACTGGTTTGATTTCATAAATAACTTTCTCTGGGATGGAATCTCAGATTTAAAGCCTGTAGGCTCATAGCAAATAAATGAGACTTATTCCTTGCCCAAATCTGAACTGGTATGATTGAATATTGATGATCAGTTCCCCACAGCCCTAGACTGTGCATCTGAATAAGATGAATAATTCAGAACATAGCTAATATAAATTGTAAATGAAGTTTATTGCTGCAGAATCACATGCAGAGCATTAAGCCCAGTTTGTGTGTGTGTGATGGTATCAGATGGGCTTTTCCAAATGACCAGCACAAGAGAATCCTGCATTGGAACCAGTGCTCAGCTGTAGAGCGGTGTCTGTGCTGCAGAAATCCAGACTGGAGGTAAGAAGTGGACAGTGTGTGATCTTTACTCCCTGCAGCCATCGTGTAGGGGATGTTCCTCTTGGGATTTTCTCTCTGGCTTTTTCTGCTGATGGCTATAATGCAGAGAACAGCTAAATCACTAGATGGTGTAAACATTAAAGGTACTACTTGCAGAGTCACATTGTGTGGTGTTGATGTGAGAGACGTGGGACTGTATTGCCTGTGCTGATGGAAATGAAGCTGGAGGTGGGGACGTTCTGCACTTCCACAGGCTGAGCCATTGCACAGGCACCTGCTCTTCCAACCAGCCATGAACAACAGCAGCAGAGAAAGGGATAATCCTGTCAGGAATTGGAGGAGAAGGGAGGCGACAGTGCTTTAAAAAGTGTGTGTTAAGAACAGTTCTCAGTGTTATGGAAACACTCAGATTTCCTGGTTCCTGCTGCCTGGATTGTGGTTGCAGTAAGGGCATGGAGAAATCCGGACCTTGTGTTTATCCACCTGGGCACTGGAAGGGTTCCTGCTGTGGGAATATCTGAGCAGCCCTCAGTGAAGTACACAAACAATCTTGCTCTGTTTCATTCAGCAGAGGAAGGATCTTCCCTCTGTAGTTTACCTTCTGTTGTGCACTTGAATGTGAATGAGTGTTGTGTGTCTTTGTGTGAAGACTTCATTATTAATAGACAAATAACTGAGGAGAGTTTTCCTGGTGGTTCTCATCCCTGCTCTCCCCCTGGCCATTTCTTTCTATCTTACTCCTAAGACTGTGACCAGTCTTGCTTAAACTAAAGCAACATTCACATTTGGGTCTGACTTCTATGATTTTTTTTTTTATTTGCACTCTTGACTATGCAGATTTCAATTCAACATCACTTTAAAGAATGTGAAAAAGAAAACTCATTAATAAAGATGTTATTTATGAAGTGTCTCATTTTGTTTTTACATTACAACAGTTCTTTTAAGAGAAATTAATGCAGATTTCTAAGATCCTAATAACTATTTGTGACAGTGGCCTGTATTTCACTGCAGTCACCCCAGTTGCTGGCATCTCTGGGTTGAATAAGATTTATTTTGCTTGGATTTAATTAAAATTGGGGTTTAGCATGTACTGTATAACTGAGAGGTGATTGCTGTATTTCAGTCTTGGTTTAATAAATTTTTCAGCCATTATTGGCATTGGAGAAGGGAAGGATCTCCAAGTTTCCTCATTTATCCTCTTGCCAGATCAAGATTATTGCGTTATTATTTCTGTGTTTGGGTCCTGTGTGTGATGTGCCAAAGGTGACTTGTGGCATTCACTGGAGTACAATCCCTGCCTGCACAGGAGCTTCCTTGTATTTTGATGATTGCAACTGAGCACCAAACAGAACATTTGGCACCTGTTTATTTATAATAATGTCAGTTCAGGAAAATGATGGAGGTGGTCTCCAATCCCAGTGAATTCACAGCTCTGCTTGAGGTCGAATTGTTCTTCTCTTGTTTGTACTGTCCAAATATTTGGTTGTTACCAACCAAAGTCCAGTATTTCTGTTGACTGCACCGTGCTCAGATTTAGGTCACACAAATGTTACTTATGGACTGAGGAGTTACCTTAAAACAGCCTCATCCACTGGCTGCCACCTCACCCTGAGATAAACCACTCTTTGCACCAGTATCTGTGTGGAACTGATTTCTGTTTGGAAATGTGAGTGCTCTCAATGTCTCAAAGCGTTAATTTATACAATAAACTGTAGAAGAGAAGCTAAAGATCAGCGTGTCCTTTGACTCTTCTCCATGTGTTTGTTGTTATGTTATCCCAGCCCGGGCTGGAAATACAAGTGTGGGAAATAGAAAATAAGATGTTGCTTTGCAGAAGGACTTTGCAGAAAAGGAGTTTTAAACAAGGAGTTCTTCTGAAATTAGAAAAAAACAGGGAAAAAGTACATAGTCTGGTACTGAGCTGGGTTCTAAGGTGGGTATAATAATAATTCAGTCTGGTTTCTGCTGGATTTTTGTTCATGTGTGCATGAAGCAAATCCCCTGCCTGGAATGCTCTTTGGACATGGACAAAACGACATTTCCTTTGTTGCAATTCTAAAATGAGGTGAAAGGCTCTGACCTTACAGGGGAATGATGCACTGTCTGCCCCTTTCCCAGTGGGGATGACTGAAGCCTCCCTCACCTGCAAAGTGCTGGAGATCCTGCACAAACCGTGTGTGAATCAGTGGGGTTTTGGGTCACCTCCTCGGTGTTTGTGGCACCACAGCCGCTCCAAGCAGGAGCCACTCATGGTGTTGCACCCAAGTGTGACAAGATTTAGTAGATAAAAAACAGCACAAAAAACTTGGAATGTATAGACTTGGGTCCACTTGTAGTCCTGGATTCTCCTTCCTAAATGTGTGCTAATAAACACTCTCCTCACTGAAGGAGAATGTAAAGGCATACTTTGAGTGTTGGGTCCAAATGCCTGGTTTTGGCACAGGCAAATAACAATTAATGTTGCTTGGTTAGATTTTTCCCCCCCAAAGGGTGGTATTTCACTGTCAGAGTGGTTTGTTGAAGGTTTGGGGAAAGCCAAAAGCTTTGCTGGTGGGCAGGGCCTGTGAGCATCTCTAGGAAATACTGGACCAAGCTCCAATGTGCAGTGGAGGAAGGGAAAAATCAGGTGGGTTGACAAATGTCCCCATGCCAGGGAGGTAAAGAGGGAAAGCAGTTCAGAACAGGCTCCTGATGCTGCTGTGTGTGCTCAGCTCGTGTGTGGGCTGACCCAGGGGTGTGCAAACACTGCTGCTTGTGAGAGCAAAGGGGATGGAGCACTCAGGTGGTGAGAGGAGCTGTGTTTCAGTCAGCCTGTGCACACTGGGGGGGTATTTTGAAATCTGTCCAGTGTCCTACAACTGAGCTGGGCTTGGCTGAGTCACTGCAAACTGCAGGTTCTTGGTCTGCTGTTCCCCAAGGACAGAGCTGAGCTCACTTGTGTAACACACTTGACTTCTGACCGGATCATAAGCACGAGCTGCAAAAATTAAACCATACTTCAGGCTCTCTCGTGCCCACTGGCACTCAGAGATGGATTCTGAGTTCAGCCCAAGCTCTTGGTTTTAGCCCCAGGGCTCAAATGTTGTTTCCTCTCTGCATTCTTAGAGCAGATTTGGGTTTAGGCTCAAATAAATTGAAACTGTAAAAGGAAGACTCTTTTATCTGCCACTTAACTCTTCTGTTCCTTGCTCTGTGTGTGTTTGTAATATATCTACAGTATGTAAATATATATGTATACATATATATATACACACACAAGAGGTCTAATATGAACCCATGCAAAATATTGTTACTGAGATGCATTAGAATGAAGTTGCAGAGGACATTTAGTGAAATCCTCTGCTCATAGTAGGTTTGAAAGGGTAAAAAAATCAGGAGTTTGCAGTACAGAAAATTAAAAGCTCTTGCTTTACTGGCAAATAATTAAATACAGGAGATAGTGTGGGAAAAATTCAGATGTGCAGCTCCAGGAGAGCAGCTGGAGCTCGGTGCTGCCTGGACAAACAGCAGTTAAGCAGAACAGGAGGCAGAGCTGGGAATGTATTTTCCCTTTTTTAGAGCTTCTGTTTTGTTTCTGGCGTCAGAGACACTTCTAGCATTGGTGTAAAGAAGTCTGGATGTTCCTACAAAATGAGAGGTTTATTTGAGCGTGTTTTTAGGGAGTGTGTCCCATCCACTTGCTCTGACTCACTGCTCTGACAGCTGGCTCTGAGGAGCTCCAGTGAACATCCCCATAAGAAAGTTATGATGATTTGACATTTGTGCCTGAAAATTCGTCTGTAAAGAGAACTTCTTTTTGATTTATAGTATTTTTTTTATTTTTTCAGTCCCCCTCTAGCCCTCCTGTGTGCTATTACCACTTCTGTAACAGCCTTTTGTTTCCTTGTCTGTATTTTGAGTTGCCTCCCAAGTTTAAAAAACAATATGATTCTGTTTCTCCCGGGCTGGTTTGGAGGGAGCTTTTTCCCAACACTCTAATGCTTAAAATTCTGGGGAAGAAATTTGTAAA